TCCCAAGCCAGCTCTTAACCATCGCGCCACTCAGTCGGCCCAAGATACCATTTCTTTAAGGCACTGATTTCCAGTGTAGAGGTACCACCCAGCTTGACCAGATGAGAGAAACTGGAAATTGCTTGATGATTGTAGTCATTTTAAGGAATACATTCTTCAAATCCAAATGGGAAAGTAGTTGATTATAAGTAATAAAATTTAAAAGGAATGAAGAAATCCTGTATACTTTTATGCATCATAGGATCTTGGTTAAAATGCCATTTACTGGTTTTGACATGTACGTAAAGTGAAGTAGCATAAAAGACAAGGGAAGGATACTTCATCCCATGACCACATCTCGGTATTACTCTCTCTGCATTGTCCTTCCAATCCATCATACTTTTTCATTCCCAATCTAATTTCTTCCATAGGCTATGAAAATGGAGAATTCCAGTCTAGTTTTATCTGTGCTGATCTTCTCATCTCAAGAACTCTGCTGTCCCTGTCACCTGCCTCAATCTCTATACCCTCCCTTGCACAAGGCTCCTCTGGGCTTCATCAGCCTCTAGTGCCTCTGTCCTGAGTGTTCATTCTGAGCTGATCTTTCTATGACTAAGATGAAGTCCTGACATAGTCTGGTGGCTCAAGTGTCCCGAACAAATGAAAATGAAAGAAATTCACTTTGTTTTTCAGAACTTGGGACTCATTTGACTTTACTCATAGAATAAGCTATAGAAAATGTGACTCGATTGTTTTGGCTTTTGAGGTACAAAGAGCTCAGGTTCCCAGTAAAAACTAATCTCCCTGTATTGTCCCTTTCAGACCCAGATAAAAAGTTCAGGGAGACATTTCTTTCTAGAAAATGACAAGTATGCTGCCAGCTTCCTTTAGATGCAGCAAGAATAATACTTTTAATTCGGCCTCCTGATTTTCTACATGAAAAAAATAAGCAGATAGAACAAGAAAAATGAAATTTGAGATATTACAGAAATGAAATGCTCAAATGACACAAATGACAGTGTGCAATTTTCACATCACTCAATAAACTGAGGATCTATTCAGCTTTTATTTATGCCATGAGTTATTCTGAGTTTAACTTTTAAAAAAAAGAATGCGAGGGAATAAGTTTCTCATGCTTGAAGTTACAGGAGAGAATCTGCTTAACCAAAAAACTTCCAAGGAAAGAAATTGACTACTTTGATGGAAAAGGGACCACAAACCCATAGGGATTACTCATTGAGGGGTGAGAATACTGTTTTCTTTTGCCCCCAACAAAATAAGCCCTTATAGAAGTAGTATGACAATATTTGGAATGATGCAGCTGCATTTTACAAGAAATAACTTTGTTTTTTAAATAGATACCCATGGGCATTGGGAAGGAACATCTTTTTGTCTCCTAACTACTGATTCAGTGACCTGAGAATTGTGTCAAATAAAAAAATAACCCATAACTCTGCCTTTAATTTGCTTAATAGAGCAAGTATCTTTAAAAATTATATATTGTTTTGTAAACAAATATAGACATATGCCTGAATCACAGATAGATGAACTATTGATTGACATGATTTACTTTTATTGATGATTGTGGTTATGTTTTTCACATTAGTTGCAATTTCAATCAATATTTGTAGATTGACAATGTCCAATAATTTCCCTTTAAAAAAAATAAAAATTTTTTGTGGTTTTTTTTTTTTGGTCTATTGTTGGGTTTTTCTTTGTTGTCTCCACTCTTCTTGGCTATGGAGAACCTTAACCTAATGTTTTCTGGAATGTCACTTTTTCAAGAAAAAATGCAATGCTTAAAATAATTCATTTAAAGTATAAATTTTAAATATGTAATTTTGCATGAGACTTAGTAGTATATTGATGAAATTATTCTCATTGTTTGGATACTATTTTGTCTGTCTCTTTAGTGGTAGAGAGCTTTACTCCTAGGAAACACANTGAAATGTTTGCATGGTCAGTG